CGATATACTGGATCAGTCACAACTACAACGCACTTCATCAGAAGCTGGAAAAGAAAAGGGTGAATTTACTATTTGACGCATAACGTGAAAACGTTTCATAATCCGTGGAAAGCATTGTGAACACAATTGAAAGTTGACATTCAGACATGTGGTGTAAAAAGTCAACTTCTTCTCAGATGTGTTCATATATAGTATATATATTGCTCAACAGTGTTGTTATAGTCGGAGTTGCTGGTCTACCAGGGGCGTGCTGGTTGAACAGGTTGTTGTTTTAGGGTTGTTTAATAATAAATTCTGCTTTTACTTAAGGAATCTCTATCTGTTTTCTGACCTGTGTTTGGTAACCTTTATCTCCCACCGCAACATAGAACAGGCCCAAGTGTGAAATAAGATACATTTGAACCACACGTTGTACGGCTGTCTGAAAGCTCAAGTGTTTATAGCTGTTCTGAAAGAGAGTGAGTGAAAAGCTGTGAGGACACGTGAGAGCGTTGATGAGGGGAACAGCTCCACATTGACCTGGTCTGCTGTTCCCGCTGTAAACACCTTTAGAGACAGTAGTTCAGTGAATAATAAAATAAAAAAGGTTATGTAACACCTCTGCACATCTGCTTAGTAATGTGGACGTCCATGTTGCGATAATAGAAGTAAATATTTGAAGTTTTGAAAAAAGGTTTTTGAATGTAAGAATACTATAAGTAAGTATAATAGGCTCATATTTCTGTAATATTTGACTAACAGGAGAATGGGTGGGGGTCTGTTACTGTGAAAAGTCTCCACGCGCTCTCTGTGACGGTCTTTGTTCACTTTGCTGAGGATTCTCCAGTAATTGCAGATGACAACCTGGACGTTTGGATTTCCACTGTGAAGAAAAGGATGGATATCTGTGAAACGGAAACCTTCCTGTGTAGCTAATGAATACTTAGGATTCTGCTCTTTTAAAGTCAGTGTTGCCTCGCGTGTTGAATCAATAGAGAACAAATCACACTACCATCCAAGAGGGGGTTGTAAATTGGCCTTTATGACAGTTAGTTTTCATTGTATTATTTACAATTTATAATGATGAGTAATGCTATAATATATGTTATCCTGTCATTGTGTAGGGCAAGGCAAGGCACACAATGTTTTTGAATCGCTCAAGCCAATACCTGGTCTTTTCTTACATGAAAATGTATTTATAGATCATTCTGGTGCAGCTAGTATGAACGAGCCTGATGCAGCCGATCAAATCAACAACAGCAGTGTATCTATAGCCATATCCTTATGTTTACATCGTATAGCGGTCATTTGAACACATTTTGAGGACAGGACTAAAAACCAGTCAGCAGAGCCGGAGCTTAGTGTTTCATTTGACTATATTTATACATTTGATACATACAGCCACCCTTGAGTCAAGCCTCTATCAGTTTACGCCGGTGTTGAGCAGGAGAGAGAGAGCTGTTTTTGACCCGTCACTGAGTACATGTAGCAGCATGTGGCAGGTGCTCATTTCAGCCCCTGCTTTGAAGCATTCACATGATAGACATTGATTGATGGAGAGATAAAGAGACATGAATAGAGAGATAGATAGATACATGTAGTACATAATGCACACATATAGAGACATAGTGCTTGTATATACCTGGAAGTATGTAATAAAGCAGAAGCATCAGTATTAAGGATAACTATACACTTAATATCCTCATCTCCTTGCCAGTGGCCCCATTGCCAAAATCCATACTCCATTAACCTCTGCAGGAGATGATGCTTATATCATTAGCTGTGTGATTGTATGTGTGACCATGGTGGGTAGTTTAATTAAATATTAAGGCTAGGTGTAAGGTTGTGTGTGTCATAACTAAATGAGTTATTTCGGCAACAAATGATTTATTTTTACATTTCAGGATGAAATAATGTGAATATAAAACATCTACAATCCTTGGATTTGTAATGTTAAAGATTATTCTTGTGCTTTCTATTTCCCCTTAAGTCGCCTATTTATTATCATCGGGTCCTTTTTCTAATCTAATATGTGTTAATATGATGCTTTGCCAAAAGTCGGTTTATTCTATATATACATCTTTATTTTATTTTGTATTCCTCATTAAGCAGTGACGTCCCCCCTATATTACTGGTCTCCTCTTTGCTTCCAACTTTGACATATCAATATCACAACATCGTATACATATAAGCACGTTTGGTAAAGAAATATTTCTGACGTAACCTCCGTTCTATTAAACTAAACAGCTCGGTGGGTGTTCACAAATGTCAGACATGACTAAACTTGTGTGTGGATTTGTTTCTCCCGTCAGGAGCACACAACAGACGTCGGTAGAACTTGAAGCACCCCCGATCAGGTGTCAGGCAGATGACAAGAGAAATGCTTAGTCACTGGTTTAAAAGTTGGAATTTGTATTTATTATGTTCTTACACAAACAGAAATAATTTAAATTTCAGATGATTTGAGTTAATATAACTAATATATAGCTCTACTCCCTTACATGAGTCATATGTCTACATCCACAAATGCACCAGAATAACTGCTTTTATTGGATTTTTGAATGCAGAATGTGTCACACCACCCAGCGTAGTGTTGCTGAAACTACAAACTGTAGAAAGCCTCTCTTCCTTCAGTGCCACAGAGACAGCAGAGTCTACAGTCAGCATTAAGAGCACATGCTTCTTGGATTTCATGATAAAGCATGAAGCAACCCTCGGGGCCTTTACACGCTCTACAAAGAGATGATTCTGTTACCGTGGTGTACGGAGATGCAGGACAGCGCTCCGCTTCCACACACACACACACACACTCTGTTTCCTCTGGGCCCAGGCAGTGGTTTTAAATCAGTGCATAGAGGGGAAGAATCACAGGGATGCACATTCTGGATCATAAA